AAGAAATAAAACATTAATAATATTTTATAGTAAAGAGCAGCCAGGATAATTTCTTTATACAGAACAAAAAAAAGCTAATTCAGCAAACCTAACAAATTGTAGAATTTCTATTTTTATTGTCATATTTATTTTTAACGTGTGGATGATCCTTACACCACAAAACACAAATGTACATCTGTATTAATGTCACAGCTTCACTCAATGACTCAGAAGTGACTCACCAGAGGATAGAGAGATCAGCCGTCTCACAGAGGAGTTCATTCACATTGTCCATCATCCTAGTGTGAAACTGGGCCATGTTCATGACCTTGGCAAGCTCAGGGTAGTCCTTGAGTGCCAGAGGAGCTTTACCAATACTGGTGTAAGCCTGATGAATGCAAAAACATTGGGTCATCAGATCTGTAATGGTTGGCATAACTTTTGATGGATCATTGTGATTGCATCTTAGAGATATAATGGATAATGTAGTCTGGTTGAGTGTGTACTTCTTGCATTTATTAATTTGGCAGACATGTTTATACAAAATATGGCTGCAAGTAAAGTTATTTTGCTAACTGATTAACTAGCTGATTATTTCTTCGAATAATCAGATGTAATCGTCTTTATTTTACTGAAAAGAACACCGACAAATTATTCCATCCTACCCAATGTTGTCCTCCAAGTGTGCAAATTGAAAGCCATGAAAACAAACATAGTGAATGTATCTATGTATTCTATGTTATACATTATGTGCAAAATTGAAAGAAAGACTAAGTTTTAAATAAAAATTACTTTAAATTGCTAAATAAATTGCTATAATAATAATAATAATAATAATAAAGAAACACAAAACCACATTTTTCTAGCTGGGTTAAAAACTAGCCCTGTTTGGTTTTCCAGTGGGTGATATATGTAAATTTGACGTGCTGTAATTAAATAAAGAAACATGGTTCAAGATGTAGCAGTAACGATACAGTGAGGTAAGCATTTTCCTACTGTATTCTTCTGTGAGATCTTATTGATTAGATGAACAAGCTCCCCTCATATTTTCATTTAAAAAGTATTCAGGACATTTCAACTTCAGCCACAGTAAATGAATGAAAGTGTGTGTCCAAAGATCTTCCTGCAGAATTTCATTTTTGCCTGTTTTCCTTTCTTATTTAGGCTTCAGATGAATTCAGTTTTGCTTAAGCCATACCTGCAGTCTTAACCAGTCCAGTCTGAATGGTTTCAGGTCAAATTCTTCTCCTGCATCCACTGTATAAAAAGATCACCAGAGTATTAAGAAAGCAAATAAATCTGTATGTAACTATTGTATTTGAATTCATGCTATACATTTTTATCAAAGACGCTGTAAGATGGCAGTTGAGCAATATTTATTTCAATCATATCATATCTATTTCTCAAATATGAAGTGTACCTTAAACCACACATACACATTCGGGGGAAGTCGTGGCCTAATGGTTAGAGAGTCGGACTCATAACCCAAAGGTTGTGGGTTCGAGTCTCGTTTGGGATTGTAGGTGGGGGGAGTGAATGTACAGTGCTCTCTCCCACCTTCAATACCACGACTGAGGTGCCCTTGAGCAAGGCACCAAACCCCCAACTGCTCCCCAGGCACCGCAGCAAAAATGGCTGCCCACTGCTCCGGGACTGCTCCGGGTGTGTGTTCACTGCTGTGTGTGTGTGCACTTTGGATGGGTTAAATGCAGAACACTAATTCCAAGTATTGGTCACCATACTTGGCCACATGTATGTCTTTCACATGTATGAAATCTGTCTAATTTCAGCGTTTACAAACCCAAACAAATCCAACCCAATTAAGCAGTCACAACACTCGCTAAAAACACTGTACTGCCGCTACCTATGTGCAGAGTATATAGCCTGTTTAGAGAAATCAGAAAGAGAACTCACAGTGCTTGAGACTTGAGAGTTGAGACAAATGATGACATAAGAACTGATTCTTCCTCCGGACAGACGTACATTCCCTGAAATGAGAAGCATTGCAGACAGAGTTGAGACAAATGATGACATAAGAACTGATTCTTCCTCCGGACAGACGTACATTCCCTGAAATGAGAAGATAGAAAATAAAGCAAAACTGCAAACCTTCTTATAGCAATGCAGAACATTTTTTGTGCTTCAGTGAGCGGTGCCATGTGTCGGAGTACCTGAATGGTGTCATTCAGCGCTAGAGCATCATACTGTGACAAGTACTGAAGATGGTAGCGTTGTATAACATATCTGTGTTGAGCCAATAGAGTGCGCAGCTTTTCCATGTAGTAGAGGAGCTCTGCCATCTGGCTGTACAAAAAAACATTTAGGATATGAAAGGTTCATGTGATGGCGCATTTCACACAACAATCTGGGAAGTGAATATTACCATAATAGTCTTTCCAAGTTTACAAAGTCACCAGTGCTTCACTTTTAATTTTAGAAAATGTAATAGCAACCTTCATAGCAGACATAATATAACAATGTGTGATTCTTCAGTTAGAGGCATTTTTGACTACTTTAAAACTTAAAAAGGCAGAAAAAAAGAAAGTAAAAGAAAAAAAGCAAACTACATTTTTGTCTGATCACAGCTTTCATCAATTTGAACTGCTTTTATATGTGATACAGATTTTACTATTGTGTGACAGTAATGAAATATGAAAAATAAATTGATTGTGTTTTAGTTAAATACTGTGGAATGCTCCTCACATACTGTAGCTCAGTAAAACTTACGAATCTGCGTAGTCCTCCGGGGTTTTGGTTTTGGGGATGTTCTCAGCATGACGCACAAGCCAGAGCACTTCATCACGGGAGAACGACAGCGCCATGAACACAAACAAAGCCTATAGGAAGCACATATACTGTTCAGTTCATGCTACAGAGATCTGAGTTCATGTGTGTCCTACCACACTACATTATTGCAATTATTTCACATTTAAATATAGCAAAAATAATATTAATTAATTAATTAATTAATTAAAAAACCTACTACTACTGCTAATAATAAAGTAAAAGACCAGTTGAAACCTTGGGTCCAAGCAATGCAGGTTCATCTTCCAAAACTTTGGTAAGTTCCTTCAGGGCATTTCTCAGGAAGTTGCGCTTCTCTCTCCGCAGTGCCCCGCTGGAAAACCCGTGAGATGGGTGAACATTTAGTCTGCTGTCTGGAGTCTATTAAAATCTTGATGCCCATTTGGGACATTTGGAATACTTAAGATGCTCACCAGTTAATGATGACATACTCTTTACATTCTTTGATGTCAGGAATGCGCTTACTGTATCTGGAAATAAACAAATGTGAAGATAGACTGTTTACATTATAAGAAATAATTCTGTGAATACGATAAAATCTTAAAGAAGCATTCCTTTACTGAGTGACAGGCTATTGATACATGCTGTCTGCGGTGAACTGTCTGCATGCCTTACCCTTTGAGACTGTCGAAGAAGTCCTCCGAGAGCTTGTGTATGTTGAGAACCTCGTCTCTGATGACTGTGATGTACAGGCCGTTACGGAGGGCCATCTTCCAAAAATTCTGAGAGTTAGCATTGGTATTTAGACTGCTATGGCACAACAGGAAGCCAACTGACAACCATAAGATAACAGAAAACACATTTTGAATGCAAAATCATGATTTCTTTGTGTAACCATTTGTACACAGATTTCACACACTGATAGTGAATGAGACCCAAGTTCAATGTTTTATTTGTTGCTTCTGTGGTTACTTGCTCTCTAACAGCCCCAGTCAGACTACCAGTGCACTATACTTTCACTTTTTAACATTTATTTTCTTTATTTAAATCAAATATAGCGTATAATAATTATAGGTGAGCAAAGTAGGACAGAAAGGTGAGTGGTTTTGGCAGAAAGCGACAGCAGCAACTTTCTCACAGTTCTCACATGCTTTTTTTTTTTTTTTGAGTCCAGTGAAATGACACAAACCCAAAGTGTTTCCACTGTTGATTCAGAGACATAGCTAGAGCAGCTGTCTTGGTTTATGAACATAAAATATTACTTCAGCATGGTTTTTCATGATTCGTCTAGTGATGTTGACATATTTAACAAATATTGGAAGATTGTACTGAAATTGCATGACTCCTTGTACATAACAGATACTCACTGAGGATCCAGCGCTCCATCGCCTCCATGGACAGATACTCACAAGCCATCTGAAAACAATGTTCAGTGTCAGTCCTTTATACAAACAGCCAAATGCACAACTGTTTACTGATCATGACCTCATGGATTGCAATGGCATTGTATAATCAATGTAAAAAGCCAAGCTAAACCACACAGCTGAACCGATAACTGATGATCTGCACAGTGGAAGATGTACATACTGTGTCACAGCATGCAGGGCTGAGCATGGCAGCGGGGGATGCCAGCAAAGACAAGAGCTGAGCGCTGCGCCACTGGTCAGCAGAAAGATTCCTCCGCGGATACACCATGAGCAGTGAGAGGAGAGCCTCTGTCACAGACTGAGCAACAGCACAGCTATTCATATTAACCCTGCAACTGAATCACTTTAAGACTAGAATGACTATGCTTAAGTTAAATCTATCCAATATTCACTAGGTTGTCATTTCTCTTTAACATGGCTGCGCAGCAAACAGAAACTATGCTGTACGTGCTAAGCACTAGAATATAATAAGACTGATGCTGATAAAAGGATGAAAGGGCAGACTGAAAATACTGATTTTGCATGTCATAAGAACATTATTTTGTATATATAATTGTCTATAAAATAATTTTGTTACCAGCATTTAAACATATGCAAATATGTTTGGTATCTAAAATGGTATCGAAAGGGGACTGACCTTGGTGTGGGGACCAAACTCCTCTGAAAGCTTTTTCCAGGGATGGTCGTACTCTATAAGCATCTGACCAAGTCGAGGGAATGAGGGATCACTGCACATAGTTATAACACACACACACACACACACACACACACACAATCATATAGTGTATTATTATATATATTTCTGATATTCTATTACCCTCACATAAATCTTTCTGCATTTGTATTATGTTTTTGAGCCAAGGACTTTTGGCTGCTTAAACAGACAGATACAAGCCAAAAAAAAATCTCTGGCCAGCCAGTTGATAATGTGGATGTATTTAGATTAGGGCTGTCAGTTGATTAAAAATTTTAATCTAATTAATTAGATTATCTCATTTCATCTAATTAATTGCAAATTACATTTGGCTGTGAAAATACCCCCAAAAGATTATTTAAAGCTATTTTTGTGTTAAATGAGAGTGAAAATACCCCCAAAAGATTATTTAATGCTATTTTTGTGTTAAATGAAAAAGTATTAAGTAGACATTGGTAACCAAAACAGCTTTGTTACCAACAGTCTTCAAAGTACCTTCTTTTATGTTCCACAAAAGAAAGTAGCCTAAGTCATTCAGGTTTGAGTAAATGATGACATAATTAACATTTTTGGGTGAACTATTCCTTTAAAGGTTTTTTTTTTCTTTCTTCATTTTTTCCTTTTTTTTTTTTTTAAATAAAATGATATTCTAAATAAGAAACTAAAAATGCCAGCAGGTGGCGTTAAATGTCTATATGAGTCATTCATACATTCAAACGGCTGATTCATTCAGGAATGAAGTACGGCTCACTCTCTTTATAAATGGGGCTTTGAGTCATTGATTCACACGATTCCTTCAAAACGAGGATTCATTCAGAAACTAAACACCGCTGTGTTGCTCACAGACACACAACAGTTCTGCTGTGGCTTTATAGGTAATATTTTTGTTGGCAAAACTAAGCAAAAACAGACAATATTGTGTTTAAAAAATAACACAATATTAACTTCTCATTTACTGTACTGTTGTATAAAATCACATTTGCACTCGGTACAAACAGCACTCGTGTGATATTGCTCTCGCTGCTTTATCTCGCTGTGATATCGCTTATCGTGATAACAAAAAAAAGAAACAAAATTAGACAAAAACTCATACAGGAGCATTTTTGCCCCATTATCTTGAATTTTGAGGCATAATTGCATTTATGGAGTTGTTGCCCTGCATCATATTTGTCAACAGTCAACTGTATAATGCAAAATGACGTACACTGTGACGTACAGTGACGTACACTGGCCCTGCCCCCAGACCTGTCAGGTCTGGGGTCGGGGCCAGTGCGTTAACCGCGTTAAAATATTTTAATCACGTTATTTTTTCATAACTAATTAATTAAGTTAACGCGTTAAACTCACAGCCCTGATTTAGATTGATGGATATAAATAATCAAAATGCTTGTGAAAGAGTATAATTGTTCTACAAGAATATATAATAGTGAATGTTTTGCATCTAGTCTTCAAGAAAAACTATTATCTGTCTCTGACTGCATAAATCTGCTCAGTAAAACCCTCACGTTTGGCTGTGTGAAAATTAAATGAATTTTCAGAATGTAATACAATGCAGAGTTGAATTAAACTGAACATTAATGGGAGCGAGTTGTTGTCCTGCAACATATTTGTCAACAGTCAACTGTATAATGCAAAATGACGTACACTGTGACGTACAGTGACGTACACTGGCCCTGCCCCCAGACCTGTCAGGTCTGGGGTCGGGGCCAGTGCGTTAACCGCGTTAAAATATTTTAATCGCGTTATTTTTTCATAACTAATTAATTAAGTTAACGCGTTAAACTCACAGCCCTGATTTAGATTGATGGATATAAATAATCAAAATGCTTGTGAAAGAGTATAATTGTTCTACAAGAATATATAATAGTGAATGTTTTGCATCTAGTCTTCAAGAAAAACTATTATCTGTCTCTGACTGCATAAATCTGCTCAGTAAAACCCTCACGTTTGGCTGTGTGAAAATTAAATGAATTTTCAGAATGTAATACAATGCAGAGTTGAATTAAACTGAACATTAATGGGAGCAAAAAAGAGTGATAAAACAATGTCCTGGTTATGAGAATCCACTACAAGACATTGAATACAAGTCAGTTGTTTATGTTGCTTAAATGTAAGTTTGTGTAGATTTATGTTTAGACAATGACTATCAGAATACATAAAGATACATAAACATATACAAAAAGAAACGTAGCCAGGAAAAGCCACATTTACATTTCCAATATTTTTGGAAATGATCAACCTAGGCAAATGCTCTGACATCACATTATCTGAAAGAAAAGCCATTTACAACGTCTGAATCCATAAACTGGAGTTTATATATATATATATATATATATATATATATACATACAGATTTAAACCGATTTTATATGAAAACATATGATTTGTAGGAAAAAGTCACCATGAAGGTCCACCACCAAACTTAACCCTTAGAGATTCAGATACCCTTTGAGCAGATTGTACAAAAACAAATGAATGAGATTTACAAATGTGCCAAACAGGAAAATGATATGAAATTGTGTGAGTTTGTTTGCCACCAAACTGTAAAATACTTATGAACTGTTATGAGAATGTTTGTACATACAACCGTCCAAAAGCACTGTGACTGTGTCTAAAAATGTGGTCACATGGTGTGTTACCTGTTTCCATTTGAGAACTCATATGCACAGTTATACATTCCGACAATTGCCTTCTTGTCATCGATGCGAGACAACATGTAAATGACTGAGGCGTAGGTGACGATAAGGTCCAGGTAGTTCTTGGTGAAGTCAAAATTTACAGCCTGAAATGGATTATGACCACAGATTCATGTAAAAGCATCTCCTGCCTCTTTTGATTTTCTATCTTGTCTTCAAGAGTCATACTTACTATGTTAAAGTAGCACTGGCTGGCATCTATTGTGTTGAGCAACTCATAAACATGGTCCTAAAGAGAAAAGATATGCATAAATAAATAAATACTGATTAAAAACAAATTTAAGATAGAACACACTGATACTATAACAAGAATAATGAAAATATATGAAAGTATAAATCAGTCGCATTACATACCAAGTTTATTAAAAATACATTGTTAGAAAGCATTAGTTAATGAGTAAGTTAATGTTCAAATCTGGAATGTGGTGGCTCTTCAAAACACGTTTTAACTCTAATATTAAGGAACACTGCCATAAGCCTCACAAACATTTCATCAACTAATCTATCAATATTTTTCCTCAGAAATGCCCAACTAAAGTGCTGAAGTCAGTTGCTAGCTTCTGGGCATTTTCAAAGGTTAGTGGGACCTTTTTAGGTTTAGCTCCAGTAATATTCAAATATTTACCCCGCTGATGTAACATTCCAACACATTTGTCATATTCCAGTATCTCATGAAAAATTATGCACATCCACAGATGTCGTATGGGGATATCTGAGATATCCTTGGTGATTTATGTATTTTTTTCTAATATAACATTGCCTCTTTTTAAAAAAATGTCAGGTCAAGCATTAGCAAACTGTGACTAGCTTTAAACAAGTCAGGGCCCAAATTAAGACATACATTTACATTGAATTTAATAGACATTTTTGGTCTATCTATTGCCACTGTTTGCACCACTTTAAATACCACTAAATAGCATATTATTCACACGGGTGCAAATAGTGATAGAAGATAAACATATCTGAGCAGCGGTGGAAGGAGGTAGTGAAAACAGCGTATGTGTTCAGTTTAAACAGACTCTGCACACCTGTATCCAAAGCAACTTACAAATTAAGCTTGTACTCCCTAGTGAAAAAAAATATTATACTTAAGCAGAATTTATTCATATGTACTTTAGTATAACTAAATGTATTTGTGGCACACTATAAATTGGTATACTTAAAGTCTGATTGGAACAACTAATTTTGTACTAAATGCATTTTAGTTGTGCCAAAGCAGTGCTTAAGTTCAACTAAAGTTGTAATAAATATACATGTTTGCAGGGGCGCTGCTAAGTGGGGGAAGATTAGGACGATTCTAAGGGCCCACGCACTTGTGGGGCCCCCAGAGATCTGTTTTATTAGTAGTAACAGTAGTAGTAGTAGTAGTAATAGAAATTATATGAAGTGTATGAAGTTAAAGGTTTTTGGGTTAAGGTTCATAATGTAGAACATTTTAACATTGTATGCTGTGTGTGCATAGGTAGCTAGCAAACAAGGAATACAGCTAAGAAATTATATGAAGTGTATGAAGTTAGAGGTTTTTGGGTTAAGGTTCATAATGTAGAACATTTTAACATTGTTATGCTGTATGTGCATAGGTAGCTAGCAAACAAGGAATACAGCTATTAAGCTAATAGTCACATTTAGCTAGTAAGGTCATGATTGAGAAATGTTGGATACTGCTGGAAATGCTGCTATGGGGTATCCTATTTATTATTTTAGGATTTTTTTTGTTTGCCCCAGTGAAGCATTTCTATTTTATTAACAGATTAAGTAGTCAAACTCATTCCATATCAGCAGAATAGTGTGGTACAAAAAGTCGATGTACATAGAAAAGGAAATGAGTGAATTATGTTACTGATACCTAATGGTCAAAAGCAATAGCAAAAGTAATAGGTCAATATTATTAAATTGCAGACAAAGATTTTGAATAGCTAGGCTGGCTTACACACTATATTGCCAAAAGTATTGGGACACCCCTTCTAATGAACAGGTTTGACTATTCTAGTAATTTCCATGAGTACAAATCTTAATGTTTAAGCATATAATGATATTCTATGGAATTGTGTGCTTCTAATTTTATACCAGTAGTTTGGACAGGACCCTTTTCTATTCTAACACAGCAATGCCTCTGTGTATAAGGCAAGGTTAAAAAAAAAAAAAAAGATTGATTTAGTCAGGGTGGAAGAACTTGATTGGTCTGCATAACGCCAAGTCCTAATCCCAGCTGAACACCTCTG